GATACTCGCTTCTATACCTAAAGCTAACCCTACTTACAGCTTATCCGAGGGAGTAGTATAAAGTGTAAAAGGTTTACACTTTGGTTGGTTTCCAATCGTACCAAAGTACAACTACAGTGTACCCTTTTACACTTTATACTACTCCCTCGGATAAGCTGCAAGTAGGATTTGCTTTAGGTATAGAAGGGGTATCGGATGATCCTACTTGTGGCTTATCCCTAGGTGTAGAACGGGCAATAGATTCACCCTGTACAAAAAATGTCGGTAAAAGGCTACTACGGCTCTATGATTGCGTTAAAAAGACGGTAATCCTACAGAGTAGGGCCTTTTCCGAATGTTGATATTTCTTATAAAATAGAATAGAATAGAATAGAATACCTCCCGTGCGACCCTTGCGAGACGGTCGGGATTTGAACTCACCTTACCACCGAGCCTTTTCGCGCGGAAACTCGTCTCTCTCTCTCTCTCTCTCAAGCGCGCACGCACTACTTACCGCGATTCCCGCGCATGTAGATAAAGAGAAACATTTGGTAGATAATCGTCCTAAAGGCTATTCTACAATTGCGTAAACGTGGTTGTTAGCGGTTGTACAGTGTTGTAAAACACAGTTTTAAACTAGCATTTCCGATTGTAAAGCCTGTTGTAAAAGATGGCTGAACTTGATCTTCCACGACTACAACGATATAGGACGTAAAAGCTAACTAATCATTCATTTCAATTACGACGTATCTCACTCTATTGTATATTACTTTGATGTACAACACTTACTACTACTTCTACTCCTACAACCCTACAACTACGTTTACGCAATTGTAGAATGGCCTAAAGGCTATTCTACAATTGCGTAAACGTGGTTGTTAGCGGTTGTACAGTGTTGTAAAACAGAGTTTTAAACTAGCATTTCCGATTGTAAAGCCTGTTGTAAAAGATGGCTGAACTTGATCTTCCACGACTACAACGATATAGGACGTAAAAGCTAACTAATCATTCATTTCAATTACGACGTATCTCACTCTATTGTATATTACTTTGATGTACAACACTTACTACTACTTCTACTCCTACAACCCTGCAACTACGTTTACGCAATTGTAGAATGGCCTTAATACTTAAGCATGTGGTATATATCTTAAAACACGGTCGTTCCGTGTGGAATCCGCGGCTTTCGACTGGAATCGGCGGGGATGGTGGAGGGTCTCTAACAAGGCTAGTTTGTGTAAAGCGTCTATCTTGCAATATTGGATCAATATTGGGAATACTAGATTTACATTGTTTCCCCAATATTGCGCCCATATATTGTGCTACTAGGACGTATTATTTTTGAGTAAAGAAAATTGGGATTGCGGTCAAGGAAAAAGTCACTTGTGCGAAATAACACATTATTTTATTTAGTTTTTCTTCTTAAAAAAAGAATGAACTTGAAATCTTGGTTGTCGGGTTTCTTCATTTGGATTCTGGCGAGTAATGGGCATTTTCGAAGCGACGATACACTAAGTTTGCAAATTGAACTAACTATATGTATATATATGTATATATGTATATATGTATAATATTTATATATAAGATAGGTTTTCGCTTCTCGCGCGTTTACTGCATAGTACGTCATATTTACGTCTTTATATTCTCCCTGTTACTCTCTCTTTTTGTCATTCTCTCTCTCTCTCTCTCTCTCTCTCTCTCTCTCTCTAGTACTCGTTTTCTCTTATCCTTGCATGCACGCTCTTTCTCTCATTTACACACTCACACATTTTCCAAATGTCGGTATTTTTGAGGGCTTTAAAGAATTATGATTTTTATAGATATTTTCTCACTCAATATTTTAACATATATTTCTCTCTCTCTCTCTCGCTCTCTTTCGTTCTCTCAGCATCGCGCAGATTATTGGCAGATGTACATTCCACACGCACAACGTACATTTAATTTCTTGAAGAAGAAAAATGAGACACTTATCTAATCGTGGCACGCGTGCGTCGCCATGTGGATTTCAGTTTTAATACAATTCGATACAATTTCCTCCCGTCATGAATAAGAATCGTAAATATTCAAGTAATATTTGATGAAATATTTCACGCGTCTGAAATTTGACATCAATTCGTTATTACAGATACTTCGATGATCTCGCAGGCGAACGTGGAAAACTTGGTGGAAGTTTATGTCACGAGTTTATTAAATACAGGGTATACCATTTTATTCAATACCCAGTGAGCAATGATTCGTCGATCAATATCGATATCCTCTTGAAACCCTACAACTTTTGTCTGAAACATTTTTTGAAGAAACGTCTCCATTTCGAGATATTCGCGTGTACTGAATAAAACGGTCTATCCTGTATATTTCGGTATCTAAAAAATATATAAATAAGCTGAAGCCCACTTATACTTCCGCATATTAATTAAAGTAAATGAACTTTGACATGAAATCACTTTGCGATTGGATGCTACAAAATTTTCTGCAAATAAACCTCGAAATTCATCAAAGAATCTGCGGTGTGACAGGAAATACTATTACACAATTTGCGTCACAGATAGAAACGATGGAAGAAATAAAACAATTACAACGGATTAGACCTTGCATTAAATTCTACAGACGCGCGCGCGAGCGCACGATGATTAATACTAAGTACAATCTATGAGTTGAATCTCTGCGTTTCCGAAAAGGAACAACGAGCGTTCCTTTTCTCGCGTTTTCGCGTACGTATATGTCTACGTGTATGTATAGATAATATACAGTAAATTTTTACAATGACGGGAAGCACGACGGGACGCCGCGCAGCTCGCCCGAGATCGCCACTTCGCGAATTCTCGCCCCGCTCTGGAGAGACTCGGCTTCCGGTTTATGAGAATTCGCTCCGAATTCTCGAACGCGCGAGGAAGGGCAGGAGGAGCTTTAACGTGAATTCTCGAGCTCGGATTTTGGCGAATTTGCCGGCACGAGATTTTCAATCTCCCGCGAAATTTTAAACGCAAATTACATGCCGCGCTTCTCCAGCATGCGAGTCATCTGGCTGCATCGAGAGAGATAGATAGAGATAGAGATAGATAAGTAGAGAGAGAGAGAGAGAGAGAGAGAGAGAGAGAGAGAGAGAGAGAGAGAGAAGAGAAGAAAGAGATAGAAATAAAGTAGAAGCGATCGGAATCGTGCCAGACGATCGCGCGTACGGCAGCGTCGATCTAAAGGTGCCGTCCCATGGAGCGGAATACGCGGAAGCGGAATCAGCGGATCGCCAATCGCAAGATTATTCTGATAGAGCCCTTTCAAAAATTCCGTCGAAACGGTCTTGTGATTGGCGATCCGCTGATTCCGCTTCCGCGTATTCCGCTCTATGAGTTTGCACCCTAACACTTCACTGCCATCGTGCTTCCGCATTTGCGACATCGCGTCGCGTGTTCTTCTGCGTGTACCCTTTTCTTTTTAAATTAGTCTATTTTAAAGTTAAAGCTTTCAATGGGTTCTTTCACTATTTCCTTTGTCTTTATACACGACGCTCGCAATGGCAGGCGCGACTATCAAAGCCACTAGCACGCGTCGCGCGTTCAGCCCTAAGTACGGTCCGGAGAGTTGAACACGATTGATAATCGATTTTCGCTTTTGCACCCCGCGATAAGTATATGTCGAAAATCGATTTTACACACATTACATTCGCTTCGAGTCGTCGAGAGATCTCTGTTCTGACTCTGTCAGATTAGAATTCGGGAGTCGTACATTCAACGCTAAACGCGGGGCGCGAAGACGAGTTTCTCGCGACGTGCGTTTGATCGCTCATATGTTTCGTTGAACATCAACACGAGATGCACAAACAGGCAGGAATGTCTGGACGCACTTCTCGTAATGTATTCTACAATTGTAGAAATGTCCAGGCATTCCTGCCTGTCTGTTTACACGCACGCACTCACACATACGTACATAGACACGGCGATGGCTCGCTTCCTAATTCGTCAATTTGTTCTGGATTTCCGTCTCTTTGCGTTCTTCCTTTCCTGCCCTTATCCCGTTTCGTTCCGTTTTTTTTTTTGACCACTGGACTTTTTGATTTCTAAATTTGCGAGACGACGACGAAATCGCAAAGGCGCGATGGTCTTCACGTGGACGAAGGATTCGTAGCGTACCGGATTGCAACTCGGACAATACCCGGCGAGAAATGACTCGTCCAGCGATGTCGAAGCGATGTTGAATCGACATCGTTTCGACGAATCATTTCTCATTGGGTATTTATGTCCAAGAGATATGCGAGACATCTCGACAGTTTGGAAGTAAACATTTAAATGGTATATATACGTATAAAATTTCTTGAAACATTTGTTAAAAGAGGGAGAGAGAAATATGATCTATACGG